TATGGTTTTGGCAAACAAAAAAATCACCTTTGCAAACCATAACTTTCTAGTTTATGTAGGTCTGTGTATGGTTACCGTGGCAAACTGAAGGGTGCCTCAGGCCATGCTTGATGTGCGTCACTTCAGCACTTCCACATTTTCTATAGCATCTTCCAGGAGTCCACTGCCTGCTGTTTCCTTCTGCTATTGCCTTCCTCTTTGGTACTGTACTTGGAGAGGTTGTCATTGTTATTGTCATGGTAAAACCTACTTTCTTTTGAATGCCAATAGCATAAAAGTCAGCAGGAGGGGTGGATGAGATTCAGGGAAACACTAATCTAAGCATTCAGTCATGTATTACACAACAAAAGTTTTTTCCTTTCCCATCCACGTTGTGCTCCTTCTTACTAGTTGAGGATGAATTCCATGCATGTTTCTGTGAATAGCCTGACAGTTTAATCGGTACATTTGCATACGGGCAAATGAAGCTTTTTTCAGAGTTGCACAGTAATATGTTTCACCTTTATGCCATGCCAGCTTCAAATTGTATCCCAGGAGGATTTCAAATGTGCATAATCTGTGCAGTTGTCTGGGCTTTTTCTCTTTTCTTTTTTTTTTTTCTGCCTTTTTTTCTTTTTTTTAAACTGGCAAATGCCTATTCATTGCCCATCTGGGTAAGAATGGCCTTTGCATTTTCACACCCATTCTTTCCTATATGGTTTGTGAATACCCTTCCAATCAGAACTTGCTTCACAGAAAGGGGACAAAACCATTTTACAGGAGTTTCTCAGAACAAGTCCATTGGGATCTCTACATCATGTTTACTGGACAAAAAAAAAAAAGGGGGGGAATACTTAACAAAGACCACTTGAATTTCGCAGAAAGGTTCCCACTGTCTTGGGTTTAAAAGAGTGGCAGGCCTGAGAAGAGCCCGAGACAGGAGTCTTTTTCCTGAGCCAGGCATTCTGTGCAGTGACGAGTAGGTGAGTGTGCCTGTGTATAGCTGGGTCTTGTGAAGAGCTGACACGCTTTTGGGCTTGTCCAAGGCTCTAGTAGCCTTTATCAGAATGTGGCAATACTTAGAATCAAACCTGCATTGGCAAGTCCACGTTTTATGGGAAGCGTCTCCTTTGGACTTTCAGCTTAGAGCGGCATAAAGTAGGGGTCAAGGACAAAAATCTGTACCCAGTTTCCTGCAGAGAGGGAGAGGATCTGCATGGGAGAGCAGGTTTTGCTACAGACCAGTCTCTGGAATTTGTTAAAACTGCTCTTTTTACTGCTGTGGTTTGTGCAGTAGTGTCTCTGACAATATTACAAATTATTTGATTGCCTGTACTTTGGATAGATATAGTTTACAGTGTTGAATGTCAAGGAAGATGCCTAGAATAATCATCCTCAAAATCTCTATTACCTTTTTTTACCACTTGTTGTGTGTTTCTTCTACCACCTTCTTGTTTTATCCTTAAGGAGTAAATTTCAGTTGTTTCTCAGGTGAAGAAGTGGTATTTGTTCCAATTTCACTTGAAGAAGTAAGGAAAGGATGAAAGGATTTTTATTTTAAGGGCAAACTCTGTTATTACCAATAGGAATAAAAAAAGTATTCCATGCCATTTATGAAGTGACTCAGCTGTTTTCAGATCAGGTCCTACATCACAAGGTGCATCCTGAATCAGCTTCTATAGGAGAGAAGAGAGATAATCGCATCACTCTCAGCAATGCAAACAAACCTCTTTTCTGTTCCATGATTAAGCCCAGCTGCCTGATTTCATCAAGCCATCTAACAACAGAATACTCTATGGCTACACAACTCTTGATTCTCACAGCCAGGACCTGAGAAGGGCTGTTCAAACTTATAGATGAACCTTACCCTTCCTCCTTTTTGTACATGATTTGTTAGTAAGTGGCAGACTTCACTTTCCCAAGAAGTCATCCAGTCTCATGATGCATATTACACCTTTCTGGAAAGGAGTTGTCCTGAGGACTCATTTTTCAGAGTTCCACTCACAAAATTATTTTATCTGCCAAGGAGCATAAGGGAAAAAGTAGATTTCTTTGCACCTGCTCAAATCAAGAGACTTGTCTGTAACCTCTCTGATATGTGTAGAATATTCCACACTGCGCATGTATGTGCAAAGTAGGATTTTTTGGTTATTGAGTTGGACTGCTTTCTTCTTATTATCAAATACCTCATTTGACAAAGCAGAACATGAAGTTAAAGTTATGTTTCTGTGAAAAGGGAGTCCTAGGATCAACCCAAGTTGTCACTGATACTGTTCAAAGGGAGACAGAGATAAATGGGTAGCTATACAATCATTTGCTGTGGCCTACAGTAGGTCTTGAAAAGAGGTGTCATCTATTTATTATGAATTTTCCACTCTTCTGTTGCTCCACCAGAACAAAGCTTTTGCCAAGGATTACAACTTTTTGTGTAAATACATTTTGGATTCCTGTATTATCTGGCTTGTTTGGAAGGGAACCATCCTGAACTGCCCTGTAGGCATTTGGAGAATTACTCTATCTGCAAGGAGGAGAAAATATGTCTCTTCTGTACATTATTTTGTGTAATAATAGTTGCATTGCACTTGAATGCCTAAGATGTTTTTCCAGTCCTATGGTCAGTCTCATCAGAGTTAGAAACTCCGGTTTCCTGGCTAAGCTTATGAACAAGACAGATGTTTTTCACAACCTCCATCATACTGTTAGTGGTTTCTTCCTTGTTTCTGCTATGTGAGCATCCCTGCAGCGTGCTAATCACACATCGCAATTAGTACCCTTCTGGTACTGGTTGCTTTACATCTGTTAACATCAGACTTCTTCAGACAGCCAGGCCCCATCGTGATTTCCAGTTCCTGACCTTTGTGCATCCTTTTTATCATTAACTGCTTCAGAGAATTAAAATAACCACGTGTGTCCAAGATGGTTTCTCTTTGAACCTCCAGAATAGAGGGTGCTTGAGATGTCAGAAGTAAATAAATGGGAAGGAAAAGGCAGAGCA